TCCTCACCTCCCAGACAATCACACTGGTCTTATAGCAACTCCCAGATGCACTGTGTCTTCCCTTTTTTGCAAGTGTTTCTTCTCCATCATATCAGAGAATCTCAGAGTAATTGTCAGACCCCTTGCAGCATGGTCCTCTCTGGTGTTTACTTAAAGACACATTTCTAGGGCCAACCACACACCTACCAAATCAGAAAGCCTTGGATTGTGGCCCAGGGATACGTATCTTTAAAAAGATCTCCCAGGTGAATTTTTTGTATGATAAAGCTTAAGAACCACTGGATCAGGCTGTGAACAAACTGAGGTCAGGGTCTGAGTCGTACTCATCTCTGCATTGTTAGTCTCTCACTTTGTATCCTTGTACTTTTACTGACACAGCCAACCCTAGCACTCTCATCAGTGTTAGATAAATGTTTATGGAATTGAATTGAGTTGGAAAAGTATTCACATATTAAGGTTTAACTCCACAAAAGTCATGATGTGATGAGACTCTTTGGGTTTGGTGAGGTGGTCGTGTATTGTTTTTGCCTATCTCGCACCTGCTATCTCTAGTAATAATTAATAAATTTTTATTTTCCTTGGAAGAGCCACTCCTCTCTCATACTCCATTCTTGTAGTTTGAGAAGCTCTGATACTACTTTCTCTGCAAAGGAGGTGAATATGTGACACACGTCTGGCCAAGTTGAGCACATATTCTCCCAGGCTATTGCCATTAGTTCAGAAATTGGTACGTGATCCAATGAGAGCTCAATTCCAGATTTATTGGTGCTGGGTTTGCTAAGCTTGTAGAACATGACTCTGGATTTTCTAGTAACCAACTTTGACTCCACCTGCTGCACTTTCTGTCTCTATTGATTTGCGTATTTTGGACACTTCATATAAACGGAATCATACAATATGTGGATATTTTCAGATGGCTTCTTTCACTTAGCATGATGTTTTCAAGGTTTATTCATCATGTAGCATGTGCCAGTGCTTCGTTTCTTTTTATTGCCGAATAATATTCCACTATACAGATGTACTCCATATTGTTATCCATTCATCAGTTAGTGGACATTTGGATACCTTTTGACTTTCAATGCATCAATAAATTCCTTTTTATGGTTTAGTATTTTAAAACAGTGAAAGAGTTGTAATAAAGATGGTTCTAAATCAAATATTGGAACATGTGATTTGATGAGTAATGAGTGTGACTTGATGGAGACAGTTAATAAACTATGGGAACTTAAGACAGTACCAGAAATCAGAAATGTAACATTTATATAACAATTAGGTTTCAACTCACATTTGAAGTTTCATGATTATAAATCATAGTGTTTCATAACTATGATATGATGGCCGGGCGTGGCTCAGTGGTTGAGCATCGACCTAGGATCCAGGCGATCGGGGTTCAATTCCTGGTCCAGGCACATGCCTGGGTTGTGGGCTAGGCAGCCGATCAATGACTCTCTCATCATTGATGTTTCTATCTCTCTCTCTCCCCCTCCTTTCCCCTCTCTGAAATCAATAAAGATATGTTTAAAAAAAAAAAAAGGAAGTATCTGTGGAAGTGATTACAAGGCAAGGTATATGTCATTTACCACTCAATATGAAAGAACATGAGGAGATTAAAAATATTTGTAATGGATAATTTCAAATATAAACAAAAGTAGAATGAATTACATAAAAATTCCTATATACTCATAATCCAACTTTTGAGCTAGTTGGCGTGAAGATCAAATGGGATCACGTATAGAAAGCCTTTAGCATAGAGCCTTAATCTCAGTTGGCTTTCAGGAATGACTTCTGCACCAGTCAAGGTTCAATAGAAGCAGAACCACTAACTAGAGATTTATGATAGGGATTTGACCTTATGCAATTGTGGGGGCTGGTTTCACAGCCTGTGAGGCTGTCATCGTTGTGCCTGGTGATGAAGCGCAAAGTCAGTAGGATGAGCTGGAACCTGCATGTCTATCACTGCATCCAAGCCTCCAACTTCAATGATGTGAGTGACCAGCAGAAGATGGTGTTCTTTGTCATGGGGATAAATGCATAGCTGGCCCAGCAGTTGGAGTTGCTAAAGTAGAATCGGGAGTTGGAGGAGCTATGGGCCTGGCTGCTTCCCTATGCTAATAAGATCAGCGTGAGATAAGTATGTGAGCTACAAGAGAGCCTGGTACCTTGTAGTGACTTTTCAACATAAAAAAATGTGGCTGTGACTTCACTTTTGCCTTTCAAATCTCATGCAAGATGTTTCTTGTGGCTTGCTAACCAAGAATTATGCAGGGAAAGGAGTTCAGGGATATGTAGTTTCTGTTATCTATTACTGTGTAACAAACTCCCTCCAAAACCATAGGTAAAACAGTAACAATCATTTATTTAGCTCAGGAATATGCAATTTGGGCAGGGCTCAGTTCGGACAGCTCATCTATGCTCACTTGGCATCAACTAGGGTGGCTCCAAAGACTAGTCAGAGGCTGGCATCTGAAGGCTTGCTACTTCCATGTCTGGTGGTTCATGCTAGCTGTCAGCCGGGACAGCTGGCACTCTTTGTGTGGTCTCTCTGACATGGCAGCTGCATGGTAAGCAGACTTTTTATTGGAGGTTCAGGATTCCAAAGATATATGACCTGAGAGACAGAATGAGTGATAGAGGGAGAAGGAGAGGGAGGAGAGAGAGGGAGATAGACTTTCTATTCTGGTTCTGCCATTTATTAGCTATGTCACTTTGAGCAGGCCATTTATTCTCTCTGAACCTTAGTTCTCAAATTTTAAAAATCAGGACTTATTTTGGGTTGCCCGGAAGAAGACTGTAGGGTAATAATTTGGGAGTTAACCCCAGGAATTATCAGAAGGAGCTGCAGAGGATACAGGGGAGGAAAGGAAGCCAGTAAAAGGTACTTAATCAAGCAAGTTACCTCTGCGGGCAACTGGAGCTAAAACCTCCGAGGAACCCCTGGAAAACACCATGAATCCCAGAGCTGTCTCACCCAAGGGTTGAGGGAACTGGGATCCTTATACATCAACTGCCATCAGTTATTGGTTACGGACTTGGGAGGGGGGCATTAATTCCTCAGTCCTTTTGTCCTGCTAAGTTCCATGCAAGTGGGAAAAACTCTCAAAGGGATATAGGTACTGTTAGGGAAAACTACGCAGATTCGAACTGAAAACAGTAAGAGCTGAAGGGATATGAATGGAGCACTGACTGGCTTTGCTACAAAGGATATTAGTTGCTTTTTTTAAGGTGGTTGAATAATTAAAATGAGATGATATACCAAAAAAAAAAAAAAAAA